AATATTTCGAGCATAGTTTTGAAATAAAAACATCAGCATCTCATAGAAAACAGTAAGTTGACCTTATGGCATTTTTATTTCAAAATATTGCTCGAAATATTCGAAATCGAGGTCATTTTTTAAAAAGTCTTTTTAAAAAAGCTTGACAACCCGTTTTTTTTACCGAATGTCCATGAAATTTAGTTTTGGCGATGGCCTGGACCTTTCAATTGATCTATGTTGGGTTATATTAAGAGAACTACATCTTTTTCAATAACTTTGAGGCCAAATTGCACCATTTTTCCATTCTTCGAAGCCCTAGTATGAAGTTGAAAAATTTATGGTTTTTGGGTAAAGTTAAAATCAGATTTTGACGCCTTTGTCCATTTAAGGTCATAACTTGGCAATTTATGGTCAAAATTAATTCATTTTTGCACAAAATGTGCTTGAGAAGTGTACCTTTATTTCAACGGTTAAATGGTGCCTGTAAGTCTAGTCTAACTGACGCAATTCAATTCTAAAAAATTAGTGACAAACTTTATCGGTCATACCTTAGTAAGATCTAACGAAAAATGGCTTTGAAAGTGATTCAATCGGCATCTGTTCCTGGATAATTTCTTTTTATCCAATAGACATCTTGCCATGATCATGAACAAGAAAAAGATCAAAGTGTAAAAATGTAGCTTCAAATCAAGCAAATTAGATGACATAACTGGGCAATTAATTGTCACAATAATACACAATATTACAGTTTGTTATTCAACAGATTTGGTTTCTTTAGCAACCTATCCATAGGTCTACATAGACATGGAGGCAAATTCAAAGGCTTACAAACCTTCATTCACCTATTGATTCAATTCACACTAAAATGATTTAAACGCTTCCAGTAATTGTTAAAACTTAATTATTTTAATATAAAGTTATATTAAGAAAAACTTAGAGATTAGAAGTCAAGTTTGACAATACATTTTAAAATATAACTTAAATCGTTGTACGATTGAACAACATTAGACTCAAAGATCTTCATCATTTTTTTTAACATTTTTCCGTTTATCTTTTCTAACCTCTTTCTTAGTGTCCGTCTTGGTCGCTGTTGGCTTTGCTTTCGGGGGACTTCCATCTTGGTTGCAACTCTGAATACAAGCGTTGGCCAAAAACTCAGATCTCATGTGCAACAATTGACCAACCATTTCTTTGAGCTCTTGATTACGAATATAAGATAAAATCCTTTCAAAGTCAAAAAATTCACCCAAACCAGGTAAGATACCATTCCTTTTATATTCCCTTTTTTCATATTCAAATGCCTGAAGGACCATATCAAACCTATCCAATTCCTTAGTCAATTGTGCCTCAGGAGTCAACTGATCTTCATACTCGGAATACAAGGTGAGAAAATTTTTAGCTACTTTTGATGGTAACAATGAACCTGAAATAAAAGCATCAAATCCAGTTAAATCATGTTAAGATTGCTGTGAGTGATCAAATTCAAAAGTAATCAAGTTCAATTCCAAGCAATAAAAAAGGAACCAAAAAAATGAATATTGACTTACAGTTTCAATGAGATATACAGAGTAAAGTTATCATCAAGTATCCTCTTAATTAACATTATCAAATCAATTAGCTCAAGCATCATAATCATTATCAAATTATTTCAACAGTTAGTCTCTCTCAATATCAAATTAAACCCAATTCATGGAGAAAGAGAGAACAGAAATTGAATCAAATTTTCAAAAGGATTTAACCAGAGAAGCAAAAAGCATCAACTTAATCAAGATTAAATTCAAGGGTAAACCTTATCCATAAATCAATCTCAATTGCTAATTAGATTCACTAATCATTTGAAAATGTTTAAACTGTAACCAATGAAACAAAAGGTAAATCAAAAGTCAATGAAACCAGGATAACGATAATTATGAGTATACATTGAAAGTCAAGATGATTAAGCAAGTTAACCAATCAAACCAAACAATTATCATTCATCGAAAAGGCAACATTTTTGTAAATCAACAGCAAAGGTTTAAAGGAGTTAATCTGAATTAGATGATAATTGAAAGGCTTTCATTAGACATTAACATTAATGGATAAAGTCAATTGCCAGGTGAACCCAAATTGAGATTAACCCAAATCATCATCGTTTTTTATAATGTAAATACAACTTAGCCATTCAATTGTTATGGTAATAGGAAAATAGCTAATTTCAAATAGATTTTGTTCATTAAATCTTTCACCTTGATTGAACTTGATTGTTAAGAGTTAATGTGTTAACTTACTTAAATAGTGAACAGCATTTTCTTCAAGCCGATGCTTCTCCTCAACTGAAATATCATCATATGGAGTGAAATCACCAACAATACATTCAGCAATATCATGGACCAGAGACAGTTGCATTACCTTGTTCAGGTCCACTTTGGTTGAGTTGTTGTTGTCTTCCGACAAAACCAGTAAAGGTATTATCGCCATTCTGTACATGTGACCAGCAATTCGTTCAGGTGAATGAATCTTATTCAAAACCCAACCAGTTCGTTCAATTTGCTTCAATTTACCAACTTCCATGAGAAATTTAATTTTACCAATATTTTCAGTCTAAAATGAGAAGAGAATGAAATTGAGAGAAAAAAAACCAGAAATTAAATTGTTCCTTTTGGATATTTACCTTGCTTTGGTTGATTTGTTGGCGATTGTACAAAGCTTGATTTATATTTGAATCAATTCTGATTTCATCTCGAACTTTTCGATTCATTGATGATTCTAAAATGGTTGATTCAATTGTTTCATCTAAAACTGGTGAAGGTGAAGGTAATGATGAAGATGGAGGTGACATTTCTCGATGGTGAAAGGAGGGCGATGAAGGTGAAGATGTTGAACTTGGAGTAACATTTGCCAGTATTACTAATAAAATACTCAACTGTGTGTAATCACACAACGAAATTAAATTAATTCTCATTTTTAATCAACTCAATTGGATTAAATTAACGAGTAAACATGTAAACAAGACCAGAAAAGGTTAAAAGGGACTCAAGACTTGAACCAGAAAATTTTTCAGTCCTTTTCTTTAAGAATTGTTTAAAGTGACAAAAATAAAGCAAAAGCAAAAACAAATTTAAAATGACTATTTCTTTCAAGATAATTAATTGTAATCAACTGACAATGTTAATATTATATATTAGTTTAATTGTGAATCAAAGGATGACCAAGTTAACCAATTCAAGTGGCAGTAAAAGTGAAAGAAACTGGATAAACAATTGATTCTCACAATTTATACTTGAACCAGAAAAATTTATCTTTCACTATTTGTCTACAGTCAATTACAATTATCTGTTTCTTAATCGTTATTAATACCAATTATCTTATCATGTCTTTTGTCTTAAGCTACCACAATTAACTAACAAGAAGCACTGATTTGGTTAAAGCAACAGTTTTAATCACAATGTTGTGTTTACCTTTTGTTTGCAATGTTTTGATTTCTCGGTGAGAAAAGCAAGCAAATCTTTTCTTGTTGGTTAACATCAATAGCAAAACTGGATTAATTGATAATCTTAAAACTGGTAAATCCTTTTACCAGATTTTAGGTAATCTAATCATTAGTTTTCATCATTATTTGTTGTCCAATGTTTGCGGCTTTTTTTTCTGGTAAAATGAAAATTTTCCACAAAATCAGGTAAAAGCAAAATTTTGTGCCATAATCTTGATCAATTTATGAAAAGTGAGTTCAATAATCGCAATCGAATGATTTCTTCCGAAATTGGGCAAAAATTGAAATCAAATTGATTCTTGGTAACCTTTTCTGGATTCAATTTCAATTGTTGCCTTTGGTAAGACAATAGAGATTATCCAAGAAATCATATGATTTGATATTTTGATTTTTAATGTCATCAATCGGAAGCTTTAGTCGCTTTAAATGATCATTTATCATAATCTGCTTGGATCAATTGAGAAGTGGAATGATTTTGATTGACGTAGTTAAATGTTGATTAAGATTGAAATGATCACAGGTTAAGAATGAAACATTTAATAATGAATAAATGATGTTGCTACTGAGTCGCAATTGAATGAACAGAATGAACCTTATGAAGATTATCTGAATTGATTTAATAGCCAATTTCACATCGACACTCGCAATCATAATCATTCTCATTTAACTAACCATTATTAGCCAACATTGTCCCAAGTAGAGCTTCAAAGCTTCTAGATTTCAGGCCTAAATAAGTAGACATTAGATTGGATTCAAAATTGTATTTAGACTTCAAACAAAAATATTAGACTTTTAGCTTTTTAGATTACGGCTAAAAGCCTAGCTTTGAAGTCTGATTTGAAATAAAAAGCCAAAAAATTTTGACTGTAATTTGATAAAATCAACCAAATTGTGGCGCATTTTCTGGAATCCCTTGGTGCGCTCCACACAATGACCTTTATATGAATAGTCTTCATTGTTTTATTCAAAAAGTCGATTTACTTTCGACTATGGGATATAATGAAAGATGGAAATGAACAAAATCAAAATGATCTTGAAAAAACGAGTTTATTAACCAAGTTCAAGTCTAGACAAATGGTAACTGCATTAGACTTTAGCTTAAAAGCTAGTTTCACAGTCTGGATTTTACATTTAATCCTCGATTTTATTAGACATAAGACTTAATTATAAGTCTAATTAGACATAAAGCTAAAATCTAGACGTTTGACGTTAATATCAGAAGCTTTAGTTACAAGCATATAAGATTATCACGAATATGCTCAATATATCAAATAATATTGGTGCTGATCAAAAATTATCATCGATTTGCAAGATTACTTTTTGTACTCACACGATTTTTAACCGATTTTCTCAGTGAACTGACATTTGTGAGTTCTAATGAAGCTTGTTTATTACATTAAGCTTCTCTCGCTTCCCAATTCCTTCGCTTTTGCATAGATTTTCGTTCATCAGTTTCATTGTCTTCACATTCAGGGATCATTAACTTTCCATGTAAACCTGAGTGTTGAGCATCACTAAACTCGAAAGGTTTGATCAATTTTCTGTTTAATCTTTCAAACTTTTCCGATTATTTCGACTCGAATCAATTGAGCGTAGTTAAGATCAATTTAAGCTTCATCATCACCTTGTTGATAAACTTAAATTAACGAAAAAAAAGTTGCTCAAAAATTGAAGTTACTTTAAGTTGATCATATTGAAGTGTAAATCCCAGAGTAAACCTTTTTTTTAAACAGTTAATGCATTGTTTTCAAGTGAAACTGATACCTAAGACAATCAGTTAAACGATGAACAGTTCAACACTTTTTTACCTCGACTTTTTTTTCTCTCAACTCGATAATTCTTTTCAAATCTCATAAGAGTTTTCATCTCTTTTCATCTCGTTTCAACCTTTTAACCTTTTTTTGTATCTTACACTTTCATTTATCATCATCATGAGATGAGATGAATATCAAGTAGCTTAATTAAGCTTGAAACATGAAAACAAAACCCATTAGTGTTGGTTATTAAAAAGAGTTAACCTTTTCCATTTAAAGAAGTGTATAAAGTTGATAAATTGGTAAATTAAAGTGACATTTCAGGTAAAAGATGACAATTTTACTCATTTTTGTGCAATTTTCATTGAATGCGGTTCATTTGAAAAAAAGAGGTTTAATTGTATTTATTTATAAATAATCATTTGAATAGTTTTTAATTTCTTGTCGAATCAAACATAAGTCTCATTAATAGCGTGCATTGAATTGGTTGTTGCAATTGAAATGTTGTTTACTAAATTAACATTATTACTATTGTTTTGTTCATCATTAACAGTATTTTTTACAATTAGATTGGCATTTAAAGCTGTAGTTGTAACATTGACCCTAGCCTGGTAACTATTGGCTAACCTGTCTTGATGGGCCAATTTTGAGCAGTGAAATACTTGGCTTAGCTTTTTGCGAAACTTTTTCCCAAAAATACAATAAATGACAAAATTAATTGATGAATTGAGGCAAACGAGTAGATTTGAAAAGATGGTTGCCATCTCATAGCCTGGAGCATTGAAAAACTCCATACAGTTGACAACAAAAGCGGGTGCATTACAGGCAATGAAAATGGACACCAAAAGTACCAACATGGATGCAATGTTGAGCTCAGTTTCTTCCTGATTGGTGAGGGTGGCTCGATTACGGGAAGCTCGGCGAACAGCTTTGTATATTTCAGTGTTGAGAGCAGTCAAGAGGGACAATGGGATGATGTAGAGAAGAGCCAGGTTTAGGCAAATGTAGTATAACCAATAGTAGAGGCGATTTTGTCTGAGTGCCGTTTGGCGAACAGAGCGAATGCCTTCAGGTGAAGTGATTACCTCAATCTCAATGAAACGCGGAATATTGTACAGAAAGGCGCCCAGGGAGAGAAAAACGACTGCCCAAATGGCTCGATTACGATTGGAAAAGGTTCGAATTCGAAATGGATGGCAAACGGCAAAGTAACGTTCAGCGGTTATCAAACAAGTGGTCCAAATGGAACCCGTTTGAGAGATTAAAGCCAATGGATAGACAAAGGTTACATAGTAGTTTAACGGGTCATCGGGTAGTTCCGTGCTGTAGCCTGGTGAGGGTGGAAGGCTGTGTTGATGGTGATGATGGTTGGTTGGTGTTGAATGGGAAATTGGTGGAATCACTAGAGGTGGCAAGTCTTCTGGGTTGGAGTAACCGTGGGCAAGGGATAGGTCGAAGAGCAAGGGAGGATCGATGGAGCTTGGGTTCAAGTTGATCAACTCGGTTGGGGTCCAAGAGTGTGATTTATTCATTAAAGTCAGGTTAACACTGTAAGGGTCTAGGGATTGAAGACGATTCAGATAGTCGGTTGATGTGTAATCAAATGTATTGTCAGTTAATCTCATTGAATCAGTTGATCCATCAGTTGATTGACTTTTTTCAAGTTCACTTGATTCACTTGATGGTAAATTTACAGATGACAGTTGATTTGGTAATGAGGAAGACAAATGTGGTGAGACTGGTAAAGGTGAAGATGAGGTAGAAAAAGATGATGATAAAGGCGAAGATGAAGATGAGGGATGAAGTGAATTTACAGGTGATATAGATGAAGGTGAAGATGAGTCGAGTGATGGAAAAACGGATGGAAGATAATCACTTGGATTGTGTTTACTGTTGGTTACCAAAGCGGGAATGCCGAGCATTAAAAGTGCATTGATTAACACTCCGTTATCATAGATGGCCAAGACTGTTAGGTAAACATTGATGGGTTGACGTCTCATCTCATTGAAGGCATTCAAGATGAACAGTGTTACCGTATTGGCCGAGATGCCAAACAAGCACATTGAAGTCAACAAAACACCGTAAAAATAAAATTCAACCCAAGGTTCAACTCTCATGATTAACTTGATTAGTCAATTGCACAGCACAAAGATCAACATTTTTCTTCAACAAAAATCTAAATTCCAATTTCGTTTTTCAATCATTGAAACATTTCCATTTGATCCTTTCAATTGAACCATTCAAACATCCAAATGGTCATCAACTTTGGTCATCATTTCATCTTCCATTTGTTTCGTTTTCTGGAGAAGAGAAGAAAAAAAGGAATTTGAAATTTCATGATAAATGTTTAATTTTGTTGCGATTTGGTTGAATAACGATGAAAGGGTTCAGTTTCATTTAAATTTGGAATCAAAATTTGCACTTTTCCCTCAATTCAATTCTTTTCCTATTCAATAATGTAACTTTACTGAAGTGTTGAAATGTGAATATCATCTATTTATTATTAATTTTTGCCTTCTACTTCATGATAACAATTCATCAAATTGTAAATCAAATTAAGAGCATTTCATTGAAAAAAGATTGGAAGGAAAAGTCAAAATAATTGAACACTCATGTCTATTGGCGTAAATCATTTGAACCATGAATTTAAAGATTTGGTGATGAACAAAATATGTAAAATAGATTCTCTAAAGATTAGAATGTAAATCGCAATTTAATAAAATATTAATAACTTGAAAATAATTGGCCGTTTCATGAAAGCTTCATGAGTATTATACTTGTAAATGAGGCAACTTTTGTTTCTTACAATCATTTGTAGTTCAACAAGTAAACAGGTTTCCTGTCAATATTTAATAGCAAATGTTCAATTGATTTTTCAACCCAAAATCAAATCAAAATCTCGTAGAATTCAATAAATATTTAACAAACCAAAGGCCTAACAATATATATTAATACATAAGGAATGAGTGAAAAGGCGAAGAGAAATAAATTTTCAAAAAACCTTTTCTAATTTGTATTTCCAATTGTATTTCATTGATCAATATTTTCATTTCAAATCAAATTTCTTTTCATCATAAAACCTTGATACAGTTATAGTCAAGAATAACTTTCATGAGAAGTAAAAAAATAATGTTTTTCTGGTCAACCATTAAAACCCATTTTTCATTTACTTTGATTAAAACTGATTTTCTTGAAGTCAACCAATAATCTGGTTAAACAGTCAACCTTAGGCCTTAAAATTTGGGTTCAATTTTGGACACAAATCCAACAATTGTACAAGAATAGAAAAATAATTTACTAAAAATAGAAAATCAGATTCTCTTTGAGCGAACAAATTTACTGATGATTAATATTAACTCATGAAACGTCTGAATAGCTTGTCATATTAAATCTTTACAAGTAGCTCAACCATTCAACCAGAATTTAGTTTCGCTTTAATAAAAATCATAATTTAAAGTTGCCTTTCTGATCAAATAGGGAACCTCGATTATGATCATTATTTCTGGTATTAGTTAAACAATCAGAGAATGGTAATAACAATAAAAGTCCAGGCTAAATGTCTTACCTGACTCCAGGCTTTTCATGTTATTTTCCCTTCTCTTTCATGTTTTGTTATTATCATTATAGCCTTTTGTTATCATTTAAGAAACAGACAAATTTTGATATAAAAAAGTAATCACTTTTAGCCTCTGGTTGTTGACTTAAAGGTTTTACCCGAGCAAAACATTAACCCTAATTGTAAGCAAATTTAGTGATCAACTGCGTTCAACTGGCAAAATAGCCAAACTAGAAAACGATTTCATTAATAAAAGAAGCGTTTATTGCCAAAACTGAACTCTTTATATCTTAATATCATATTATAATATTAATAATAGCTTATAATCTTTTGCTCAACATTCAGTTTATCTTCAAATTGCTGATTGATTACTTTTCATGTTAACATTTTCATACTGAACATTAACATTCAGACAGATTATCAGTTTTTCATGTCATTAGCATTTCAGGTTTACAAGTTTACTTTGAATTTTATTTGAATTTTATTTGAATAACTCGAAATCTATTCATTTTGAACAGTTTAATTAAAGTCAACTTTTGTCAAATAATAATTTCATCTGTTAATTTCTGATTAATATGCATTAAAATGCTAACATTTGCTGGGAGGTTGAATCCCATTAAATTGGAATAATTTTCAATCTTTTTTTTTCATTTGTTTCATTTGAAGAAACATTGAATTTTAAAGGTTGGAAGAAAGGTTTTTCAAAAATTCAATGTTCTTCAAATGTTCAAATTTGAACAGGTTTTGTTTGACCAACTGTTTGCTTTAGAGTTGAAACTTTTTCATCTTTTCTCCACAAAATAATGTCTTTCGGATGCAATTTTATCTCGACTTGAATCTAAATGTTCCCGAACACATGAAAATATTTTGCTCTAAAAAGATGGAAAATGATAGAAAAGGAAATTGAAATTTCATCAAAACTTTAATAGCTATTCAATAAGCTGAAAAATGAGTTTCAAGGAGAAGCAATGAGAATGATATTTTTTGTCTTATTTAACTTTCAATAGCTCGAAGCCACTAGAACTTGATCAACTTTTTCTTCCTTCCAATTGTGTAATTGATTATCCGAGTATTTTTATCATGCAATTATATCTGTTAATGAAACTCGTGAGGTAAAAGTTGAGAGAAGGGAAAAAAAGTAATAACAATTGAGCACTTTTGCACTTGAATATTGCAAGTTGAGAAGCTTGTTAGTTGATAATGTCAAGCATGTTATGAAACAAGGGAAAAAGGTTAAGACTTTGTTTATGGTTTATTGAGTTGATAGATTTTCATGAAGAGTCTGAACATTGTTGAGAATGGGAATGAACATGTTACAAGATGAGTTTCTTGGAATCCAAAAATAAACAAACTTTGTTGTCTCTTTGTTTTTCATAAATAGCAAAACAGCAAAATATGACAGAAAAAATGTGAACATTTTTCTTTTCTCTTTTCCTATTTTCTCCTGAAATCCTGCATTCTTATTGAAACATGAGAATTGTTCATTATTCATCAGTCAGATGAGATAATATGAGATTGAATTGTGATATTGGACCAACAAGGAAAAAGAAGAAGAACAACAAGAAAAATGAAAACTGTTGTTCTGAATGGATTAATGTAATACATTTTGATCAAGTGAGTGAACATGAAAAGGTTGATGTTTAGGTTTGTCTCGTTTTAACAGGTAAAGGTTAGGTGAGAAGCATGATAATGTTGAGGAAAGAGATGAAAGAGGAATATTTGGAAGAATAATAGTTTCTGGTGATTCTCTTGTAATGATAATGTTAATGATAACTGAAGATGTGCCAAGATTTGTTTCCTTGGTGCAGAGTAAAGCTGATAAGATTTGTTGACGCTCTAACAGATGCAATGGGTAACAGGATCATTATTCATTTCAATGATGATAATGAAAAATGATGAATGAACTTTTCAAGATTCAAATTATCCTCAACTTTATTAGCTACTTTCATCACCCTTCAACAATTTACTCATCATATTATTAACTCCAAATAAGCTCTTGAACCTTTTCATTAAAACCTTTTTTTTTACTTTTCCATCGCTTCTTATTTTAAAACCTTGCAACCTTTGTAATCAATCATTTTATGGTTATTTCATTGTAACCAGCTTCAATGTAATTTTCAGATTTTCCGATGAATCGACAATTATAATGTAAATGTCTAAGAATTTGTTCATTTTTTGCTTCAACTTGTTAAAGGTTCACCAATGAAATGAACAAAAAATGAACATCTTGATCGATGATTGGGTAAAAGTAAACAAAATGGGATTTGAATATTTGGGTTGCAAAAGCTGGTCCAACAATATTGTTTGGTGAGTTTTGGTTAAACCTTGTTTCAAGTGGAATGCAAATTTAAATCAATATCATTTGGGTAAAGGACGAAACTCTTATTGGACATGGTTTGGCAGAATAATTGTTTCTATTCAATATTTTCTGAACTTTTTCTTCTGTCACAACCAATTTGACTTGCAATTTCTTTGCAAAGAAACATCTTAAAGTTGGAATCGTGATCAAAGTCAGGTAATAAAGTTGGCAATACAAGATTATTTTTTCACGAAATATTCGTTGTTAATCAAATTGATGGAACTTTTGATTGTTTCAACTTAAATTGCTTTATTAGTTGGAATCCAAGTTATCTAAAAACACTTTTCTTCTTTGCATTGTTCAGTTATTTTCAGTCAAAATTATTAGTTTGAAGGTTAGCAAATTATTTTGTGGGAAAATGAAAATTTGAATCAATTGTCTCGATTCTTGTCAAGATTAAACTTTGGCAAGTAATTTGACACTTTTTGACTCTTGATCACTTGATCGCAACACTTGCAATTTACTTTTAAACTTGTTATGAAAGGTTCAGGTTGGAAGTTATTCTTAACGTTGAGAATGGCAATTTATAATAATTTTGTGAAACACTTTTCACCGTCAAGTTTTGCATATTAGGAATGTCTTGACTGTTTCATTTATGAACATGATTGACTGATTATTTCACGGAAAGTAAACCATAAAAAGAGTTATTTTCCTTGCAAGTTGAGAAGCCAAAATTATGTGAATAAAATTGTGGAGAAATGAAGATTCTCTTTGTGATGTTTCATCGATTTTTCATCATCTTATTGACATATACTTCAACTGACCCATGTTGAAAAGCGTATTATCATTGAATCGCCATTTCAACATTTATGGACCATCAAAATTCTGACAGTTATAAGGTTGATAAATGTCAATTTTTTACACTCTTTTAGTTTGTATTTGGACAAATTTTATAACTTTTTGGGATCTCTTTCACTCTATTACAAGTATTCCTGACAGTAAAGTTATTGACATTAGCTATTGATATTTTGCTCAATGTATTATCATGACACACAATGGCTAAGAATGGAGTTTAATTGAAACGAAAATATTTTTTAATATTGAACTTTTGTCGTTGGTTTGGTTTCAATTGTGAACCAAGTCTAACCAACAGTAAAACAGATTAATGGTTTCAACAGTTTGACTTGACGTCCAATTGTTAATAATCATAATTAATAACAATTGATCGACAGTTTTAACTTCAACTAAACTTGCCAATTGGAAACTTGCTCTGAACCAGCATTTTATATACAAGAGTTGACCTGAAATTTATCTGCTATAATCAATAACCTTAGTGTATCCATTTTGATCTGGATTCTGGTAAAACATGAATTTGGTTTTTCCTTATAAAAGCTATTGAAGGTAAAATATATTGAACCAAATTATGATTATCATTGGTGTGATCAAAATTTGGCTCACAAGTTGATTCCTTATTTACATATTTGAAGCCACTTATGTGTTGAAAAAACTCAATCATGTTAAGTTGAATGATCAAAGTTGAACAAGAAAATGGATCAGTTTTGCTATTGCACTGAATTTTAATGAAATATGAAGGTTAATGCTCAAATATTCATCAAGCAAATTAATCAAAGTCAATCTTCTTAATCCATTAAAATACTTGATTCTCAATTAAATTTCCCAACTCACTTAAAGTAAGACTTATTCAGCAAAACTGGAAGCAAAAATATTAAGACATCGTTTTGATGAAATGCAATTAAAAGCAGGATCATTAGAGCAACTCTAATAATAATATTTTTCATACATCAACAAGAAAACTTCAACTTCGAATATTATTAGAATAAAATTATCTCTCTGTATCAAGTGTTCTTGATATTCATCTTTCAACATCAACATCCTCTCAAACTTGCTTCTGACTTTAGCCATAAAAGATGAACATTGCAACCCAGCAAAGTTTCACTTTGCCCATTAAATGTTGAACACAATGAGACCTTTTCACGTTGCATATCTTTCGTTTTATTCCTAGTCTACTGAGACTTCTTGTGGTTTCACGTTATGATGTGTTCTGAGTGATGAGTTCAATCGATGAGTGATGGTGATGATACCAATCGAGTCTCTTTTAACATTTGAAGCACAACCCTAAAGGCGAGTTTTGAGATGAAAATGATTTGCATCATTTTCCTGGATTCAAGTTGTTTGTGCATTCCTAATTTTCATCTACATAAGACATTTCTATCCTTTTTACAGCCTATCCCTCACTACTGCCGATTAATTGATTTAATCGGGACTAATCAATCCAGACCAAAAGGAACTAGTGGCTGGGTTTGATCTAAAAGATGTTCAAACTTGCAGAGTAAGTTAAAGTAGCAACTAAGTTTCCGTAGGTGCACCTTCGGAAGGATCTTTAACGCATTAAATGCTTATTATGAGAGAAGTGAAGCTTTAAAACAATCAAACACATAGAGACATTGTTGATGCTTATTAGTGAATGCAATTGAATTGTGTTTGCATTAGAGTCGCAATATGTTTATTGCAAACATCCAGCCATTGCAGCACAATTCTAGCTGCATTGCATTCGTTGAATGATTAATTCATTCTAGTAAACAATTATAAACCAATTTATAGCATTTAATCTCATTTTGACCAAAGCTATGGATAATTCAACTCGTCGCTGAATGATTGCAATCATTGAAAGTATTATTTCCATGATTCACCATTTTCTAATTCTCTGTATTTGCCAAATATCCTCTTTCAGATGCTAGATGATCTAAATCCTCTAGAGAGTGCAGGTAAGCAAACAGGCCATTCTGGAGCGATTATATTGTCAAGTTGATTGCATTATGTTTTCATTCACAAAACAGAATGGATTTCACGAAAAATCAATCAGAAAATTAGAGTTGATTGCATGATTAATAAGTTATGCCACAATAACCATTGACGCCTGAATGGATTGCAATAAAAGTGCGATTTATGATATCAATTAAAACATTTGCTCAATACTTTTAAGCTTGCTATTAAGTTAAACAAATTTTCAGAAGACCTCGTCGCTTCAGACTGTTTGTTAATCTGAAAGTGATATCAGCCTGTGAATTTACCAAATTGGCATCAAACAGTGAACATTATTTACAATGATGCCAATCAATTTGAGTTGGATTGGGTGCAAGTGCATGGCAATTTAACCAAGAATAACGAAGAGAAAAAATGAAATCTCCTTTTGATTTATAATAAAAGTTGACACTTGAATGGCAACTTTTCTCGGTGTTTACATTTTCATCTGCTAATGATAAAAGGCAAAATGTAATAACATTGAAAAATTGTATCAATCAAGTTGAAGAAAAGGAGAAAAGATGAAAATCAATTTCATTAAAGATGCGATTAAACTTATATTATTGATCAGCGTTCAATTATGTTGATCAATCAGTTTTGCATGGAACAAATAAAACAAAGAAAATTGGAAAAATTGAAAAAGGTTAAAACGAAGACAAGAATTTTCAGTTTTCCAGATTAATATTTTGAACACGTTTTCACAGCTTGTTATATCATGTTGTGATGTAAAACAACAATAAAATAATAATAGTTGATCATTTGATTAGAGAATGAAAATTGGAGAAAAGTTTCTTTTCAAATTTTCTTCAATTTTCTTCAATAATATTATTCTGGAAAACTATAAACTAAATCAGTGGAAAAGATTTTCACTTTTCTCTTTGCTTTTGTCTTTTCAGAATCTCTATCCTGGGAGTAAATTTTCATTCCCTTCCAAGTGAAGAAACTTATGAGAATTGTTGTCCAATAGTTTCATCGACTAAGAAAATATAAACGTTTTTGGTTCGTTTTTTCACAACTGACTAACTTAACGATTCAATATAAACCTTTCAATGAGATTATGTTCAGATTAATACAATTTTTGGAAGAAATTTTCTGTTTACTTTTTTACAAAATTTCATTTTCTTTATCCTGATTCAAACGATTAACAATTCTTGGTGAACACTAAATTCATTTAGAGATTTCCTTGTTTTTCTCATTCTTTCCATTTCTTCTGTAAATAATCAATTAACATTTATATTTACAGTTTCTGTTGAGAATCAATTTTTTGTTCGTTCTCATGATTGTTGTGTTTTTACAGACAGAATGTTCAACCTTTTCCATGTTCTAATCGATTCGTAATCACCAATTTTGTACCGATCAAATACACATGAAAATGTTTTCTTTCAAATTCCATTTACAGAATGAGGAATTCATTATCCTAAGTCAATATCAACGGACTGAATGCAACTGATTGTCAACTGCTTTAGATTGAACTTGAGTTTTGATTAGTCGCAATATAAAGTCAGCTCAAGCACTTGCTCTTGAAAATGCTTCAACTTTCACAGTCAAACCTCTTTGAGGTGAAAGAATTGAAAATTTCAAGTGTTTATTCAGGGAAACCATTCAATGCAAGAATAAAACTTGAAATCGATTCACAAATTGTTTGTTTGAGTACAAATGAAATAAAATTTTACTCATTCTTTCATTTTCCGTTTAATTTTGCAATAATTTTTACTCCAACAACTGAATATCATGTTTTGTCCTCAAAGCAAATGGAAACTAATCAAATTGATCAAATTGTTAATGAACAACTTTCAATTTCTCATAATTCAATCGATAATCACCCAAAATAGAAAGTATTAATGGATGCTATCAACATGCAAATGAGCTTGTTTACATCCAACTGTGCTAATCAGGAGAAACCTTTTATTCCATGAGAACCGTTGATCATTAAATGAACTTTAACATAAGAAAAGAAGTTGTAATATTATCAACTTTTCTTCCTTAATGATACATTGTTTAGCCTTTAGAAATTTATGAATTATTGAATAAAAGAGGAACAAAAAGAGAACAGAAAAAATGTGCAAAACTTTGAACAATGGTGAACATGGAGAAAAAGTTAATGAGAAAAAAAAGAAAAGGTGAAACAATTATTTTGATACTCAAATGCTGTGTGATAATGTTGAAGATAAATAATACTCCCTCTTGGGCAATCCTTTGAGTTATTAAAATTGGTTTATATAATAATTAATAGTTGGTGAACATGAAGATACAATGATAACTGAGAAAAAAAAGTGAAATGAGAAAAAAACAGAAATGCTTCGAATTCCGTATTGGATTTCAGAAACTCTCGCAATTCATCCAATCACTGTCACCATGTGTTTAATTTACATTATCATAGATATCATTACTTGCCTGGGAGTAAAAACTCCCAGTCTCGATTAACTTCTCTGATTTTCTTCACCTTTTCCATTTCCATTCATTATTACATAATATCATGGAATCATAGTTTTAGTAGAGGTTAAAGGTAAAGTAAAATTAAACTTACAATTCAACTTTTCTCTGTTCATATTTGCTCTTGCTCTTGTTAATCCGAATTGAACTTCACTTTGTTCACAAGTTTTGTATCGAGAACTGATCTTTTTTTGGAGAAACTTTGTGTTCGCAATTAGTTTGGATTTGTCATTGTTAGGGAAAAATTTTTCACTGTTGAGGCAAAAACTAACTTGCAACTGAACAACTTGGAAGAGGAAAAGTGTTCAAGTTTCACTTTCAGCATCGACTCTGTTTCAATTTTTAGAAATGCTTCAAAGCATAACATTACTTTTTATCATTATTTGTTGTTCATCACTATTAATATCATTGGCAATATTGTTTGGCTTTACCTTCCTTTGCTCATTGCATTTATCAAGTGTCAAAGTACATTTCAAATAATAATAACATGATTGGGTGGAAAATCGTGTGAAAAGCAACAGAACAAGGAAAAGTTAATGTTAACGTTGATCATTTAATGTGAAGACGAAAAGACAAACTTGTTAACAGTTGATTACGATTTAACGGCTTTCAATGGTAATGGTGAAAAGATATTTCTTTGTCGGTCAAAAGGATGACAATTCTGAGAAACTATTCTTTATGGATTCTTATATTGGTCAGCTAACGATCATTAGTTTGAACCATTTTTTCGTCTTCACTTCAAATAAGAATCATTAGAGTCTAGTATTGAAGTTATAAAGTTGTACCTTGAGCGAGTTCGGTCAGCTTTTGATTTGATTCCAACAAAAGTTGCTATTGAAAGAAAGTTGTGATTTGAACAAAAGTCTAGACAAGCTTTCCGTTTTAACTTATTCATTAATATTAATATGTTTAACTTGAAATTTGTCATTTTCTCACCATTTCTTAACTAATTGAATCAAGTGAAGCCTTCTATTTGCATTTATTAGTCGCAATTAAACTGTTTCGTTTTAATTGCTGCCAAGTTATCAACAATATTTGTTTTCCAAGAAAAGCTTCGAAGTTCCGTTTATTTAACTCTTTTCGTCTTCTTCATTGTTTGTATAATTGTTAATGAAAGTTGATTAGTAAAATGAGCTGAAAGACTGAAAAAAGAAATCAAATTGCTAACTTGTTTCGAAGTAATTTGATAAATGTCATCTAATGCTCATTACGATCACTCCACTTTCGAGTATTAAAGTGTAAAAGAATTAATAAAATGAAAGTTTTCTAAATATTCATATAACTCTTGATTTGTTAAGTCAAATTACATTTATTACATTATTTAGTTTAAGAAGCATAAGCAATGAATTGCACGTTTCTAAACTTATTCAATTTAATACCAAAAAAGCATCTTACAAGATTTTAAACACTTTCTAGTTAATACCTAATTAACTACTAGCATTTCGATCTGCAATTTCAGCTTTCATACTTCCCTCATTCGCAAGGAAGAATCGTCTCTTGTCCACACCATAAGCATTCGTATTTAGATCAACTAAGAGCTCGCAAGCGCTAAAGAGTGTTTTACTTCGTCAATGAGGAATCAAAAGTGTCAAACGAGTTAAATTTGCAGATCCGAATGCTTGAAGTTATTTGATATTAACTTGCAAGTGTTTAAAATCATATAAGATGTCTTTTTGGTATAAATTGAATAAGTTTAGAAACGTGCAATTCATTGCTTTTGCATATTAACCAAAAAGTTTCTTCCTCTTCTGCGCCAACGAACTTTTCCATCTAAATATTAATGATATTCGTTACTTTAAGTAGAGCAAATCAAATCAAAACAGTTAAAGTGATGTTTTGTTAGTTCCAGTTCGTAAAAAGCATAAATTATACTAAAGGCAAGAAACAATTGTCGTATGATCTGAAGAGCGAAAAGACGAATCACTGGAACAGTTGAACTAAACGCATAAGCTGTTAAACCATTCGTGTTTAGTGTGAAAATTAAATCTTTCGACTCTCGTTTTTGTCAGTTTGATCAATTCTCTTCAGCATTTTAGGTCAGCAAAATTATCCAATGTAACATATGCAATGCTTTCTCACAATTTGTATCAATCATGCTTCTTCACATGCAAACACTACATCAACGTTTAAAACCGGAACCAAACTCACGCTTAAAATGAAAATGCAAAACTTAAGCAAAAAGAGTTTTATTCAAGATATTCATCAAAGGAAATCAAATCATAATTCAATATCAAATTTACAGATTAAATAGCAAGTGAATGCTTTCGAGTTACCTTTTGTGCTAATCTAGCAATTTTAACCTGAAACCATTTCCATTCAACTTTGTTCCCTATCATTTGTGGTGAGACTTTTGCTCCAAATCTTTTACTCTGTCCATTATACTTTTGACCATTGAAAATGATATTCGCAGCAAGAAAAATGTGAAAAACCTTCTAAACGTATGATCAAAACTGTAATACATTATTGATCTTCCTTTAAATTCTGATATTGAATGAGAAAAGAAACTCAGATTGCAGTCTAGACTTGGCAAACTTGAAATGGATCATTTTAACATGAAAAACATTTTGCAATGGAAACGAATCAATATTTAAGGTTGGTCAATCATTTTGTGATGATCATTGGCGAATCATTTGAAAGGGCAAAACTGGAAAAGCTTGAATCGAGTTTAAAATGAAAGTTTGCAATAATTTGATTGATAAATGCGAAGTGGAAAAATGTTATTTCACTTGACCCGGTCTGTTGAGAGTTGAAATCACTTGTAAAATAGTGAAAAGGAAATGGTTAAATCGTAAAGTTAATATGCTATCAACTCCCTGTGAAGTTTCCATTCCCACTCTCAGCGAATTCAACTTCTTTTCAAGTTTTGCCAAAAATTTCAAATTCTATGTAAATCTTTCTGTAATATGCAAGATGAACATCAAAACTGTTTTGTAATGGATTGAATCAAGTGAACCAAAAGAGCACAAAAAAATGAAGGTAAATCAAGGAAAAAAGGGAAATGCTGATGATCTTTATATCATCAAAGCAACATTGAAAAGGAACCAAAAAAATGAGCTGAAAATATCAAAATAAAAGTTAAAAAGTGATTTTTTCAACTTTTTTCTTTTCCATTCAACTTCTTGCAACAACTCAATTTACTCTGGAATATTCAGTGGCAAGGAAACGAGTTGATGAGTTAAGTTGGACAATAAACATGAAATTATCATTATGATAATGAGGAATATTTTAGAGGAAAAGAAAAGTTAAATTACTTTGTATTTATTACAGTTGTGAACAATGGTAAAGTGTTTAACAAGTGAATAAATGAATAAATTGTGACATTTGACTATTGAACTTTTGCTTGTGTAAACAGATTGAAGATTCATGGAGAAACATGATTGCGACTTTGTTATGATAAGAAGCGAAAAGATGAGTTAAAGTACATTTACCCGTTGGACGAGAGTTGCGATGAGTTGGAGTTGAAGGACAATTCAATTTATTGGTTGTCTCATTGATATCAACTAAATTATCCAACATTATCATCTATTATATTAATACAAGTTTGTTATTTCATTAGCAAACTCAATAACAAATGATAATGATAACTAATGATAATGCTCTTGTCTTTGAATGTCTTGGGCCAGAAGTTGGAACAAAAAATAACATTCATTATTTTTGGTTCAATATGGTTTGTTTACACTTGTGGTTATATACCAATGAATACAATTGTTGATGGAAAGTTGATCTGATGGAGAAGCGAAATGATGGTCATCATCAGTTTCATGATCATTATTATGGTCAATGTTTTCTAATATTGAAAGAAGTGGATATTAAGAGAAGCTTTTGATCAACATTACATGAAATTGGTTTTCATTAAACTTGAATAATGGAAAGAAAAATAATGGAAAATGCAATGAATTTTCAGATTCTGTTTGATTGAGTAGAAAGTATTGGAGAAATTCGGATTTTCTTTTTTTTCTGGCGAGAAAATCTTTCCAAATGAACATTTCCTAACATTTATGATTCTTTTGTTTTGTTCAAATCTTTATTCAATCTCTTTTTCTCTGTTCATTTCACAACTCAATCAACCGTTTGATTCAATTAATATCAAAGTGTTTTCCCAATGAAACAGATCAACTTGCAATGTTGATCAATTTTAGCTGAAAGGTGAAAGAGTAAAATATGAATTGGAATTGGAATATTGAACAAATCAAAATTTCTTCTGTAAATCAATTTAATGTCAACTTTGATGCTCACCTAGATAAATAATTTATTCATACCTTTTTGATTGAAGAAAAGTGTTGAAAGGAGAAATTTGTTTCCACTTGAAATCAAAGAAAGATTTAAATTTCTTCTTCTATTCATCCCAGAACTTTGTAAAAGACTCATGTGAAACAGTATCTAAGAGTGTCTTCATCAGATTACAAAAGATCAAAAGAATTGCCATGCAATTGGAAAAAGAAGAAAATTCGAAGTTGGAAAAGAGTTGAAACTATAAAAAGAACAGTCAACAGTTTAACTTTGAAAAGGAACCTTAAAATTGATACATGATTCGATGGAATTCTTTATAACAAGAAAACGTGAATCTGAGTTTCGTTAGACAAACAAGTTTCAGTTAACATTTATATTCATAATAATGTGACATCTCGCAATCGGTTGACATCTTTGTTGACATTCATTTATCCATTTCTTGTTTTGCACAAATCAAAGTCTCAGTTGGTCGCAAACCATTCAATAAACAGTTGAAGGTTGAAACCTTTACTAATAACCAGACAAGACACAAAGTTCAATCATATTCAGACTTTCATTTTTTGAGATTTAATAAATTTCCATTTTCGTTGAATCAAAATATCGGTTGAACTTGCGTTTTAACCAAATCAAATGAACTTTTGCATAAAATTGACACTCGATTCGCCTAAAGGTTGGAAACATTATAATTGAAAAGCTATTCTTGAAATAGTTCAGAAAATAAACGAATTTGTCTATTCAATAATTGAGCGAAGAAAATTCTTGAGGAACTAAACTTATCCTAACTTTTTTCTCTCCTTTCTTTTCATCCAGCTTTTGCATAAAATTCATCAACTCACATCAAAATGCTGAAATTGTTTTAAAGATGAAAAGGTGAAAAAAATTGAATAAAACAATTGACTTTTCATGGAAAAGGAAAACTATTTTTGGTAAATTAATTTCATCATTTTTTCATTTTATCCACAATTATCCGAATCCTGACCTCCAATTACATGGTTATTGTGATGCTGACTTTGGTGGTGATCTCGTTAAAAGAAAGTCAACAAATGGTTTTACTGTGACACTTGGAGATTCACCAGTTTCTTGGGCTTCGAGACTCCAGAAAAGTGTTGCCCTATCAACTACC